CGACCGTCCTATCGCGTCCATGGTCAAAAGGGAGGCAATATGCCGGGCATTGTCCCCTCAGGGAGAAACCGGCTGATATTTGTACTAGCTTCAAATGTATACAGGTTCGCAACAGGTCAATGACAAAGGTGTTTATTTTTTGTGATGGAGGCATTTACTTCACATACACAGCAAGCACGGTCGATTACAAAAGCATTTAGGGTAGGACCTGTGAAAACATCGCATTCATGATCCAGCCTTTGGGCGGTTAAACACCCTCAGGGTATAAGGACGTCGCGTGAAAATTGAGCGGACTTAGTGTCATTTGCAACAGGACCTGCAACTGTGACCTGAGCTTTGCAAAAAAGATGCATTTTGACAGGGACAATGTACCCTTCTGTCCTCACTTTCGGGAAGATGTTTCCAAATGCGTCGCCAGTGGTTACGTAAACGGAGTGGCCTCACAGTACCACCGCTAAAACACCTGTGTCAACAATACGCGTGCTCTGCATAAACTAGGCGTCATGGTGACATTTGCCGCGAGTTTTGTAAGACTGGCGACAATGGCATAACGTGACGAGCGTGAGACAGAGACAATGGCCGGGGCGGGAGACGGTGCAACCCGCCTCTGTTCGCCGCAGCTCCCTCACACGCGGCGTGTCACAACAGCGCGCATAGACGAGTCACTTTCGGCGGACAGACGCGTCACGCGCGGGCCCGCGACGGAGCGCCTCCGAAGGAGGCATTTAAATTTAGCTTAACCGGAGCATGAAGTAACGTTTAGTGAATTCAGTGAGCGCCTAGGTTTGTGCATTTATATGTAAGCATCTCTGTAACATGGTTGGAATGTGTGATGGTGCAATGACAAATTAGAAAGTACCCACTTACATTTGCTGTTTCTCCGGGTTATGACCCTCAATTACGCGACGGGCCGACTTTCCATCGTTACATCTCGTGAAACGGCGCCGGGTCACGGCACCGGTGTCGCCCGTGTCGCCCGGTGTCACCAGGTGTCACGCGGTGTCGGCGTCCTCTCTCAGGCGCCGGCGGTGATGCTCCTATCGCGTCACGCCCGCCCCGTCACGCCGCGTCACGGCTACCTCAGCCGCCGAGCCGAGCGGGCCCCAGCGGTGGCTCAGGCGGTCGGTGCTCGGGGGAGGCCGGTCACGAGCAGCGCATATCGTCCGGCGACCGGTCACGACACTCCTTTGCACCCGGCGGCCACCGGTGCAGCGTACGGCTGGAGTGTGGGGAGGATTGCAGCTGGAGTCCTGGGTCGAGAGAGAGAGAGAGAGAGAGAGAGAGAGAGAGAGAGAGAGAGAGAGAGAGAGAGAGAGAGAGAGAGAGAGAGAGAGAGAGAGAGAGAGAGAGAGAGAGAGAGAGAGAGAGGGAGAGAGAGAGAGAGGGGGGAGACGGTCATTGACTTCAAGTATCTTAGTAACTCAAAGTGAAATAAAATAAAGCATACTGAAGATTTCATGGGACTTTCTTCGACTTCAAGGTTATAACATTTATACGTATTCCAAAAATGAGAATCGTTACGTTTTGTGAACTCTTATATGAGACATACTTTCAACAAAGGCGGTATACTTTCGCTTGATAAGTCTCGAATCTCCTGACTTTCCTCACCTCACTGTCGGTGGGAGTTTCTCGTGTACCTATTGTAGTTTTACCTTAGCACAACACAGCAACATACGTACGTCAACTTACCTTCAATCAATAGCGTTTGAAGAGACCGACCACCCGTGAGAAGGCATTATGCCACGATTGAACCTGAAAGGGAGCGTCGCTTTATCCCAAGCAAGCTTTGCTGTCCAGTTACCTGCTTGGGTTGCGCCGGCGTGGCAGAAAAACCGCCAGCCTCTAAGTAAATGGGCAAGAACAATACACCACCTTATATGACAGCCTGTATTCTCTGATGCTTTAGGGCACTTTGAATCTTTTAGCTGATTTAGCGTCTGGCCTTTTTGCGATCTCCATTACGTTGCCTGCTCAAGTGACGGTATGGGCCGACCTTCGGGGCGCCCTGCCCACTGAGGGCGGCGCACAAAAGGGGGCGTAACGGAGCCAGGTGGGTTTTTGTGGCCGTAATGGGGGTTTTATGTGGACCTGTTGCCCAAATATGCGTCCTGAGGTCCGGGGACGGGTCGGATGGCCCTGAGAAGATGCGCTCATTGAGTCCCATCAGCTCGGAGTCAAACATTTGACAAGTGCGCCGGACGCTCGCTGAGGAATTTGGCATCTATGAGAAATGCGATGTGTTACTACTGTCACATTTTGGTGCCCTTTGTGGCCTTTGTACATAAAAATTGTAGAATAAAGTCGATTAGGTAGTAAACAGATAATAAATGCGTTCAGCAACATTAACCCGCGACCCGTTGGGGGGGGGGGGGCAAAGAGCCCCCCCCCCCGTGGTTTTTCGGCAATAATTCAGAAATAGCTGCGAACTTCGACTTGAAACTTTCAGCACCTCTCCGGATATCAATTTTACACAACTCCTGAAAAAATTAGGTCCCAGGTCATCTCAGGTCACGAGTTATAGAGGTCAAACTGAGGTCATGTTCGGCGATTTTTCGTCGAAACAGTTGTTCACGGAGAAAAATCGCAGAAAATCAGGGTTTCAACCTCGCGACTCACAAATTGGACCATAGGTATAATAAAGCATGGCAAACAAAATGGCTATCTCGAAATTCCCAAAATATAAAAATATCTAGATCTAGGGATTTTCTAACTCAAAATTTAGATTTCTTGAGATATTTTTGAAATTTGAGGATTTTTTTAATAGAAAATAAGCTAGACGAACCCTTACTGGCCTTACACAAGCCTAATATTCACAAATATCTCTAAAACTGCCTGAGATATAGCCATTTGAATGACTGAAAAAGTAGCGGCTGTTCTTATGACGTCACAATATTTTCGGTATTTGTGCTTGGAATCAGTCAGGAGTAATATTTATGATTCTTATCAACCTTTTGTTGACTGAATATGATCCTATACGTGACTAAAGTCACTTTTACGTAAAAACTGTTTTTCGTTGTAAACCCGTACAATTTGACCTTATTTCACCTTCCTGTGACGTCATAGGTAAAAAACGGCCACGGAGGTTTCTGTGGATGCATACCTATAGGTATCACATGTCTTCATGAAGACTCGAATATTCACAATTTAGCATGCCTTTCCTTACGATTCACCAAAGTGTTTTCTGATTGGTCGAGGCTGACCCTGCTGTGACGTCACAGGTTATCATCCACTCAGGTGACTATCCACATGCGAGATCTAGGTATCATATACATCATATCCAGACTGATTTTGAAAACTTAGATTTCATTTTTATGACCGACTTCACTGCTCGTCGTTGCAAATTGGACTGATTTGACCTAGCTTGACCTCCCTGTGACGTCACAGGTCAAATATCAAGGTCATCGTATTTTATGTTGTGCATCTCGATGAGCTCTTTCGATTGCCGTTTGATTTTTTCCGATCCGGCTATTGGTTCCGAACGATACGACGGGGGGCCCTTTGCCCTCCCCCTCCCCTCCAACAGGACGTGGAACCTGCCAGAACTCAACGGGGCGCGGGTTGAGAAATCACATAGGATTTATTAGGATTTTGAGGCATACCTCACGAAAATTTCCCAGATTGTTGACAACTTCATTGATGAAATAAGTGCAGGCCACTATAATTAAAACGGTTGCAATTGGAACAATCGGGATTTAACCCGCGCACCGACGGGGGGGGGGCGGATATCCGCCCCCCCCTGAGGTTTTTCGCGAATAGCGGGAAAACCGCGGCGCGTAGCGCCGCGAAATTTGGTATGACTATTCCCTTATCAATTTTACACATGGTGTGCAAGTTTGAACCTCCTACCTTTCAAGGTCAGGTCACCAGGTCACTTTGAATGACCCAACCTCAAGTCACTTTTTTGCAACTTTGTCACCGTGCCAGAGCTACAGTAGATGTCGGAGGCCTTTGAAAGTCGCAGGATGTTATTAGGTCATTAGTAGCTACAATTTGTATATCTCGGAATTTTGATATCGGTGACCTAAGGTCAGGTCAATTTCGCGACCTCCCCATTATAAGTCAATGGGGGAAAAATCAACTCCCTGTTTTTACCACTAAAACGGGTCGGAATGGCCCCATATACCATACATGACTTCATATACGATCAACCTTCACTACCTTGAGGTCTGTTTTGCTGTTGGGCAGCTGTGAGGTCATGTGACGTCATCAAAGGTCACCAAAGGTTTTTGGCCAATAACTCCGTACAGGAACAAGATACAGACGCGTGGATGGTCTCATTGTGTTCAGCTCGTCAAGACGCATCGAATGATATACATGATGACCTCGAGGTCACGTGACCTGAGGTCAACCTTTGACCTTGACCTTTCGAGGTCAACATATATATCATTCGATGCGGATTGACGAGAGGATCACGATGATGCCCTTAGTTTGTTCCTATCTTGACTAATTCGAAAGTTATTCGAGAAAAACTCTCTCCATATTTAGCGCCGCCATTTTGACTTTTTCGACCCCTGTGACGTCATCTTTGACCTGACCTGAAAATGACCTTAGTAAAAATTGTAGATCTTGACCGTGCGTATCCGATGCCGTTTACCGCTTGTCGCTATCTTGCTTCGTTCTCGAGATCTCAGGGGGGGGCGGTCATCCGCCCCCCCCCGTCGGTACTAAGTTGGCGCAGACCCCCGTCGGTGCGCGGGTTAATGGATAAGCAAAGTCTGAGTAATGGATAAATGGCCAAAGCAAGTGATCTTTTTAAAGTTTTAAGCCCTGATGATCCCTATTATCCCTTTTACCTATTTACTGGGAAATACATGTGCAAAAAAAAATCCAGCTCAACGCTACTTGCGATAAACCAGCGACGCAATGATGGTCCCCGAACGAATACTTTGTGCGTGCTCACGTGCAAAATAAGACCTCAGCTGACTGGTTGTGGTTAGGTACGCGCACCGCTGGCATCTAGTGGCGCGGTTCATCTCTCCAAGCCAAAGAATACAAGGTTATTTTATTGATGTCACATGTATTAGTCAGAACACATTGACTAGTCAGCACACGCGCTCACACCCATTATCCTAGCTGATGATATGAATATGTACACGTCACAAGTACCGTTCCTACCAGTGATAATGTGCAAGCAAAATGAGTTGTCGGAGAGATCGCTGCGTTCCACGATCATAGGTCGATCCCGTCGATACATCGGTGATCGGTGACATACATAGGCAACAAAGCGAAACTCAGGCGCGTAACAAAGACGATGCAGACGATAAAATTCAGCCATCACGTGAAGCTTCAACGGTCGCAGCGTTCACCAGCGATCTGTGTGCAAACAAAACAGCAGACCACGTGTGCAGTCTGGTGGGCAGCTCTCCACACTGCCAGTCAATGTCTCAGTCTGTGTGCCTCTCTCTCTCTCTCACCGGTCTGCGAGCAGCGTCCATACGCGCGATAAATATGTACACACAGCACAGTGTCGCGGAGCCTACCGCCACGTCTCTGGATCACAGTTGGATGGGCGCCCGGCCGCGCCGCGCCGCCCTACACCTGCGTCACGTTCCGCCGCTTCCTGTCGCCGGCGATGGACGCTCGAGAGCCGTGCGGAGCCTCGTCGAGGCGCGGCTTGGGCAGGGTGGGCGGCGGCGCTCGGCCTCCCGGCCGGCCGCGCTGCTGCGCCGCCACCAGCGAGTCCTTGTCGCTGGGCCAGCCGGCCGGCTCGCCGCCCTCCGAGAGCGTGTTGTTGTTGCGCTGCCGCGGGTCGGACGTCAGCGAGAGGAACGAGTCGGACGGCTGGGTGCTGACCAGCGAGCGGCCGTCGTAGGTCATGTCCTCGACGTAGGGCGTCTGGTAGCTGTTGTAGCGCGCCCGGCCGGCCGCCGAGCCCAGATGGAGGTTGGCGCTGTAGTGGCCGTAGTTGCGCGACTCTGATGGCGTGTACGGCCGCTCCGAGGTGTTGAGGATGTTGGAGGCGGTCCACATGACGGGCGTGGGACCCTCCGAGGACAGGCTGCGGCCGTGATCCTCCTTCTCCAGGTCGTAGGCGATCTTGACGGGCGTGGGCTCGCGGCTCTCCACAGTTGGTACGGTGACGGTCGTGATGTGCTGTTTGGCTCCGGTGCCCGGGTCGGGCTTCCTGCGTCGGTGGCAGAGGAAGTAGTAGAGCGCCATCAGGATGATGAGCATCATCACTCCTGCCACGCAGAGCAGCACGATCAGCAGCAGCTGGTTGTCGAAGGCGGCCGGCGTGGGCTGCACGGGGGCGGCAGTGCCGCCGGTCGGAGCAGGCGTGGTCGATGTCGGCGGCGGCGGCGGCATCACCAGCGACACGATGTTGGAAAGCTCGGCTGCGTTCCCGGCCTCGTCGACGCCACGGATAGCGAAGAAGAACATGGTGTTGACGGCGTGGAAGTCGATGACGGCGAGGCTGGGGGTACCGGCCGGTTCAGGCTGGCTCCACTCGGAGACGGTCTCACACTCAGAGAAGTGGTCTCGCAGCTGGTCCCGGCTCTCCGAGAAACGCACCTCGTAGTGGGCAACTGCAAGAAGAGAAAAGATGGTTCAATGTTTGGGATCCTCACGTTTCTTCTATCGGCCATCACCAAAACCATGTTATGTAAACGACATATGATGACAAACGGTCAGACTTCATCTTGGTGGATGCATACTTTGGAAGAAAGTGGCATCTTCATAAACCTCTGGTTGATGCGATGCCCTGACAAATTACGTGGTCCCACCACGGTGGCAAATGATGCATGGTATAAGGTCTCACCTCTGGTCTCTGGTTTGTCGAAGTCGTTGCCGGGCGCCGACCAGCTGAAAGCGATCGTCTGCTCGTCAGCGTTGGTCTCTGCGCGGAGGTCGGTGACCCGGTTGGGCGGGTACCGGTCGGCCGTTGGGTCGGCGTCTCCAGTGACCAGGAGGCTACCGCCGGAGGCGGTGCGTCGCAGGTCAAACATCGGCACAGAGGTGATGGGGCCAACCGTGGAACCGCAGCAGGGCCCCGCCGCCGGGTCACGGCCGGTGACGACCCGCGCGCGCGCGCCGCCCACCTCGACCCGCACGGTGAAGAGCTGACCGGCGTCCGACAGCGCGCCGAACTCGGCGAAGTAGCGCGAGTAGATGCCGTCGCCGTACAGGATGTCCGGAACTGCCGACAAAAGGCGCGATCAGCCGTGACGTCTTCGTTGGCTTTCGTTACATGGTATCATTTACTCCTTTTGTCGGTCATTAAATAACTTCTACATGCAGAAGTGATGTGAGAGAACTCGGAGGTATAGCTGCCCGGTTCACCGTGTCACCAAACAGCTTATTATTCTGAATGAATTGATCTGGGCTTGCATGACCTGATAAACGTCAAATGATATATTAGGCGTAATAAGCACGTGTTTCGATTATTAGAAGCCAAGCTACGAGCCCCTACATAATTGACGTGCCTCGATATCTCAGTGTAAAACAGCCATCAGCGCCATGTCATTACAGCCTAGCTCTGGCCACCGATATAGGCGATCCTCACCTGCGAGGCCGTTGTCGAGCAGCTGGATCGTGGCCTCGCGGCCGTCCGGTCCGGTCACCACCGCCTCCACCTGAGCGTTGATGACCGGCGCGCTGCCCTGCATCACCTGTGGACGACCCGCGGGCGTGAGCGCGCCACTTTCCGAGAGCGGCCGCCGCGCCGGCGCCCAGACGCGCTCTCAATTACGGCCATACATCAGCCGCGCGCTGATTTATCGAAACGACCGGCCGTTTTTCGGCTCGGGGCGGGTTTGATGGAACGGGGACGGCGGGCGCGAGAGGAGTCGTGCACGGCATCACTCACCGAGGCGTAGACGATGAGTGGCGCGCCGGTGGCGTTCAGGGTGCCCGTGGCGTCGGCGCTGGTCCACACCTCTGTCCGCACCGTGTCCTCCGAGGAGGACGGCGAGGACATGACCTGCACGACGATGCTGCTGTGCGACGGAGCCAGGTTGTCGATCACGTACTCCCATTCTCCTTGCTGAAAACGGAGGGCAAAACCGCATGAGGCCATGGTGCATTGTGTCCGCATTTTACAGGTCTGCATGTAAGGCTGATCAAGCTCCGCGCAAAGCCTCTTAATGACTTTATATATGTCCCGCAATGCCTAAAAAGAAACGCCTTGGACCGTTGCACGATGTTATCTTTTCGCTCCAAATCATAAATTGACTCGATACAATCTGCTGTGCCAGCATAAATGACTGTCAGCGACTTCTGCGAACGCTTCCTTGCAGCAGTCAGGTCCCGACTTACCACAGGGTCGATGCGGATGTACTGCAGGTGGTTGGTGGTGTCCGGGTACATGTAGACGGACCGCAGCTCGCCGCCGGGCCGCCGCAGCTTCACGTGGCCGATCTCGCTGCGCGTGTTGTACAGCACCGTCAGCGTGGTGTTGACGCCCAGCGTCGTATCGATCAGGAATCTGCCGCGCACCTTTTGGCCGTTACCGACGAACTGCTGGTCCTCCACGCGCACCATCAGCCGCCGCTTGTCCGAGATGTACTTGTCCAGCGCGTGCACGTAGGCGTCAGCCAGCGCGTGGAACACGCTGATAGAGGTCTGGTCGCCCAGCCACGAGTCCTCCACCAGGATCACGTCGCCACCGGTCGCCGTGGCAACGCGTGACAAACCCGGGGTCTCGTTGGGGTAGAACACCATCACTAGCCGCACCTGAAGGAAGAAGACGTGTTGTAATGACGTGGGAAAAATAGACTTTGAGTAATAATTGTAGGCTTAGGGAAATGACGAAAAGCTTGCCCTATTGGCAAGCAGCACATAAAGCTGAAATAAATACTTAGGCCGATGTTACCAAAAATTTTAGACATCGACGTTCATTCTGTTATCAAACCACACTGATTACGCGGAAAGTATCAAAATCGCTGCCGATCTCTACCACGAAAATCCTCAAAACAAAAATGCAGCCTTCTGACAGACACTATCAGTATCAGCCCGAGGAAAGACAGCGTCAGTTCCTGGGTCGATCGACTTACCCTGTTTTCCTGCAGCCTGACGGTCATGTAGTCGATGTCGGCGTCGCTGGGCTGGTTACGACTGTTCTGCTGGTTGCCCGTCACCCAGATCAGTGTGGAGCCGGGCGCCCGGTCTCCGAGGGACTGCAGCGCGCCGTCCACGGCCGCCCTCCAGCTCTTGTTGTCCTCCATGACATCGTCGGCGATGGGCGGCAGGTTGGCCAGCTCGCCGCGGCCCATAAGCAGGTCGGGCACCGTGGTCAGGTTGCGGTCGGTCGTGTAGGAGGAGCCGAAGTGGCCGATTCCGACCTGGATGCCCGTCGGAGCGTCCCAGTTGACGAACTTGCGGATGGAGCTGCTGACAAAGTCCCAGCGTTCCTGCTGGCGCATCGTGGCCGAGCTCTCGAGAAGAAAGAAGAAGCGATCCGGGGCAGCCTTGACCACGCTGAAGTCGACCGGCGGCGGGCTGGACTCGATCCTGGGCGGGTTGATGCCACCGCGGAAGTCGTCGTGGCTCTGCATCACTTCCCAGACGGACCTTTCGCCGCACAACAAGTTGTGCTTGGTCGGAGCCGCCCCGTCGTGACTGTCGGAATCGCAGAACGGCTTCGCCTGTAACAGCACGAGCCAACAGCCATTAGAGTCCGATCTTTATTGTCCGTAAATCACGATGTGTGTCCGAGTTAAGGGAAGTGCTCGTGCCGTAGCACGCGATACAACTAAGTGATCCGTATACGGCAAAGCTCTCTTTATCAGATTAGGTAGCCACTGAACTCACGATCCCATAATGAGACCACAAAAACGCATCGATCTTGTCGGCTGCATCTGGGCAGACGAATTGGATCTGTATCAGGACCCAGTCACGATCGCTAGGTGGGCATCGAAAACACGCTCGTGGTCATGCCCACTGGAGATCAGCCGGTCCGACATGTTCTGACGGCTGCGTGCCGCTAACCGGCGCCGGGTGGAGAGCGGGCCGGTTTTTACAGCGGTGAGGAGGCCGGAGGGGGGCAGAGAGCGGACAGAGGAGTGAGCACGGTACGGAGGTGCGCCTCGTGCGTGTCCCGCACCACTCAGCCTTAGATAGAGATGCAATCAGACCGGCGCCGGCCGCTGCCGCGTTTTTGTGAGAAATGATTGCCCCTGTGCTGGGGTAGTAATCAAAGAGGGAGGGGGTACATGATGCATCGCATACCAGATCAGGCTACAGACATGACGAAAATGCGCAGGAAGCAGTTTCCTCACATCCTTCCTGCACGGCGCGCCTCTGCGATGACGGAGTTCGTTCGAACCGCGCAGCTGCACCGATTTTCCCGGCCAGTGATTAATGACAGGTGCGCCAGCAGGAAAACCGGCGATCGGCACATAGTTCGGCCGCATAGTGCTCTCCTTTCCTGACAATTACACACAGGCCCCCGACCACAAAGCGGAGGGGCTGTACCGATGACGGCGCTCTACCGCAAGACTTACAAAGAGGGATCGCGTAGACCACAAAGAGAACGGAACCGCCCGGTGCAAATTGGCTCAGGGAGCCGTTACACTGCGGGCCCTAAATCTTATCATCGGCAGCGGACCCAGCCACAACCACCGGAACTGCGGTACATACCTGGGCGGACGAGTGCAGCGCAGACTCGCCGGTCGAGTCGCTCGAGTTTGTCAGCGGCACGAAGGTGCACTTGTTGGAGCTGGGCTCGCATCCGGGCCTGGAACACACACGGCGAGTGGGCCGCCTCTGTCAGACTCAGGTCGTTCAGATTCATGGGTCATGCAAACCACTTGCAGGAGCACCCGGCGATTCTCTCGAGTCACGGCCACACGGACAGTTCACGTGAAACCTGGCTACCGTGCAGCGCCATCGGAGCATAAAACACCGGCCGCCGCTGGCCGAGCCGCGGCTCTTTCCCACACCGCCCGTCACGTTCCCACGATATAGCAGACAGGTCAGACAAGTACTATTACATGAAGGAAGTTTGCTCGCATTGAAACTGGTCCAATTATCGCGCGCATTTTTAGTGGTGCTACAATGCGTACGCACTCGTAGTGACCTTGAGTCTCCAAATCCCCGGCTATATATCAAACATCTCGTTCCCGCAGAAACTGTATCAAAAAGTATCCGTCGTAATCTTGCATAAGGCGGTTGACTTTTCCTCCGAGAACAATAACAAGTCGAGCTGTCATGCGAGGACAGGTTTAAAACTCGCTCAGATAATCCGCGATATGATAATCTGGGCTCGATCGGCGGCTGTGTCGGGCGGTATTTCCACACAATAGCCCGCAGTGCTCCGAATGGCCCGGAAGACTGAGTGGAGTACTCACGGTGTGATGGTGCCGGCGACGGTGGCGTCGGCGCAGCCGGTGGGCGCCCACTGGCCGGCCGACTGCTGGTAGAAGGACGGGTACAGTGGGTCCTCGGCGTAGCCGGCCTCCTCGAATACGCCCCAGCGGTACTTGGTCCACTCGTGCACCAGCACGCGAGCTGCGACAAAACAACGACACTTGGTCAGAGGACGGGCGGTTCTTTGGCAGGCGCGGCGATCCTGTGACACGATGTCAGAGCCGGCGCCCGTGTCCGGCAGACAGGCGCATCTGTCAGGCGCCCGGCGCGGTGGACGCCCAGTGATGGATGGCGATGTCGGCCGGTCGGCGGCGCCGACTGACGCCGCCGTCCGGTGACAGGCGCCGCACCACGCCCGCGGGCTCCCGGGCAGCAACCCCACGCCCCGGGCTCCCGTGCTGCCTCCCCGTGAGGCGGCGGACCGCTCTCCGGCCGGCTGCGGAGCCCGGGTCAGCTCGGCCGCGCTGCGTGTCTGAGATGTGGACCGTAACGCGCACTCCGCAGCGCCGGCTAATGACGGGGTGTCAGCCGGCCAGATGAGTGCTCTCAAAACGTGCCGAACGGCCGCACATAATGTGGGTCGGAAGCGGCGCATTCCGCGGACGCCAGCATTAGATGAACGGGTTATCGCGTTGCAACTAATGGCTAGAAGGGACCGTATCAATCACCTCGAGTTGGGGTCACTCTGGCTACTTCCTGTGTCGCAATGCTCTTACCTCGGTCCTCGCTGGGCTGGTCATCGGTGACGTAGTCGGCGGCGAACTGGACGAAGGCGCCCGGCTGTCCGCAGAGACCGGCCTGGTGCGTCCACGGCGCCGCGCCGTACACCGGGTGGGCAGAGCTGACCCTTACGTCCGACGTCAGGTAGCTCTGGGTGGTGGCCTGGCCGGGCGTGGCGCCGCCCGTGCAGCTGCGGGGCCATGAGTTCGGCACCACCACCGTCACGTCGCCAAAATAGGCGCGTCGATTGGTAGCCGTGTACAGGTACGAAGAGGCATTGGTGATCAGCGCCTGAAACAACAGAAAACATCGATGAGTGCTCCTGCGGCGGCGGTTGTTCCTACTCTCGCTCGGCGGGTGGAGCAGTGTTTTTGCAGCCAGGCGTTATCTGTGATCTGTTGCAGTGTTGTTGTTGGGTATCTGAGAACGTGACTGCCGTGAGATTCAGGCGGCAGCTGCCCCGCCCTGTACGCGCAGCGCCTGCACTTTACACTCTGATCGTTTGGCGTCTGGCCAGACCTTTATCGCGTACATACGGTGCACCGATGGCTGGAATGCAGGCTAAGACAAAGCCGCCCAGGCTGGCGCGGCTGGTAGTCGGTGGTGTTGAGAGGCTGCGATCGCTCCCATCGGCACCTGAGCGGGGCTGAGTGCGGACAGCATGTGGCCCAAATGAACTGCAGATTGCGCCGTCAGCTGGCGAGCAGCTGCCGTTCGACGCCGCGGGGTAAGTCAAGCCCAGTCAGCGGGTTGTCAGTGAGGCCCGGCAGCGGCATGTGGTGTAGATGATGGCCAGCGGCTTCCAGGTAAATCGTCAGAGCAACGCTGCCATCACTGCGCGTGATGGATTAGACAGATGAAAAAGAGGGGGACGCTGACCGATCGCCGCCGAGGCCCAGAAGAAAAAGATGGAACATCGTTTTTTAGACAAAGAGGTCTGTCGAAATAGAGGAGACACCTTGGAACCATGTCGAAAAATAAACTATTCATCACTGCCAAGGAATGACAATAGCATTCAGGATTTCGGTTCCCAGAGAATGAATATTTGTGTGTCGCTGGCCTTGGACAGCTCGGCGGCAGAACAGAGTGGACGAACAAACACGAGAATAGGACGAGCAGTGAATTGAGAACCCACCGCGAGGGGCCGACCGACCGGCAAGAACAATGAAATTCCGAGAGCGCGACCCGCTGGGTCGCTGTCACTGGACCCCTGTAATCCTTCCGGCCCGGGCCTCATTTGTCGGCATGAGACGGTCGGCACACCTCTCACCCCGAACAGAGCGATTGGTGCCGGTAATCCTCCAGCACACGGCAGCTAAACTAACACGGGACGGCCGCACGTCCGCCCCAGCGCCCCGCCGGCGCCCCTGCCACTGTCGACGCCTTGTGTGTGCGCCACTATTGTGTTCCGAATCGGGCGTACAGAATCGGCGCGGCTGCCGCGCGGGGATCGCCATCAATAGCTGTGACGAGCGCACCGGAACGGGCGGCCCTCGCCGCTCAATGCGGCCGAGAGGGCGCAGAAAGGAGGAGGCGGGACGACAGGGCCTGTGCGCCGCCCCTGCGGGAGTCCGCCGCGCGACCCCCTGGTGTCGGGACGGGAGGGGTCGTGGGACAGGCGCGAGGAGCCCGGACCGGACTGAAGGACGGAGCGCGCGGCGAGACCCGTGATGGATGGTCCCTGACGAGCTAACGCTCTATTAGGAGCGAAGGGCGTGGGTCCGAGACGGTCCGCCCACACGGACACGGTCCGAGAGCGGCAGATGAACCGTGCACGCTGCGCCGAGCGCTGCCGATCAGCGCAGCACTCGGCGCCGTCTGCGATGAAAGCTTGTTGATCCGCAGTGCATCGATCCGTCATCAGAGCAGCGCTGCTCCCGAGCGCACGCTTTGATCGGAGCTGACCAGACGATGTTTCTCTCCGCCTCAAAGCCCACCGACATCGATACAGCTGTCGGGCAGCTTCACCCTAGTGAGTTTGCCGACGCCGGTCAGCGTTACCCAACCCCTCCTCTGTTTGATCTTCGACCCAAACCCAAACGCCGACCGCCTCGAGACGCTCCAGCACCTGCCGCTCAGCTCGGTCTCACGCCGGTGTGGATAATCAAACACCGGTCCGGCCCGCCTCCGCAGGTCAAGAGGTAGCGACGGGAGCGGTATCGGAACCTGCCGTGAATCTGGGCCAGGAACTGGCTCGTCGGCTGACCCGACTTCCCGGCCGCCGCGCCATGACCGGCCGAAAACCGGCCGACCTCTGACCTGAGCGCGTCACGTCACACCTGACGTGACGCCGGTGGCCGTGATTCGCGGGCGCCGTGACGGACGCCACAATGAGCCGCCTCCGCCGGACTCCGGGACCACAGTGACCCGGCGACGGAGGCGGCGGCCCGGTGGGAACGGGCGGCCACGGGATGACCGGCCGGCGCTGGGAGAGGCGCCGCCGAGAAAACACGGCGCCGAGCGATGACGCGACACGTTGGAGCGATGGCTGTTCCCCGGCGCGGAGGCAGCTCCAGCGTCGACTCGGTAGGGTAATTCCCACCATTATCGCTCGTTTGCAGACGGCTCCCGTAAGGCATTCTAAAGCGAAAACAATTTATCCAATGCTTAACGAAGCGGATCGGTCGGCCTTCTGGCTAAGCAGCCGCCGGGATGTGCGGAAGGTAACGCGTTGTTTCTCGCGTTTGATTTACGAGACCTCCCCGAGTTGCGTAACGTTGCACTCGCGCTCGTACTAGCGGCGGGAGCAGCCGTAATCCGCAGCTGTCGGGCAGTTTGTCGGAGTTATATTCGCGGTGTAGCGCTGTCGCCACCGCCCCCGACTGTCTCCTGTCATGTTGCGCTCTGCGGGCCGTGTCGGAAGAAGGAGCTGTGAAACAGGCGCACGGTCGGGCCGCACACCTTAACCCGCGCCCTGCTGGGGGGGTGTTTGAACACCCCCCCTTGTGGTTTTTCGCAAATATCTCAAAAACGGCGGCGCGGAGCGCCGCCGTTTTTGGTACACCTTATCATACATCAATTCTACACATGTTGTTAAAATTTCAGACCAAGGTCATTCAAGGTCAGGTCACCAGGTCACTTGAAGTGACCTCACCTCATAAAAACTTTCAATGTCTGTCATAGCTACACCGAGTGACCGATCGCTTTGAAACTTTCAGCGATTGCTAAGAGCAATAGCATGTACAAAATGTATATCTCAGAATTTTGATATAGATGACCTAAGGTCAGGTCAATTTTGCGACCTCCCCATTATAAGTCAATGGGATAAAATTGAAATGCGCCTCTTTTGGATGAAAGACATTATAAACACTCCCAAACACCGAATTACAAGTGGTTTAGACACACTGAACTTGAAAATGGTGTCCGTGACCCTTGTTTATGCCCTGAGGTCATCTTAGGTCACGAATGGTATCTAACAGTTTTCCGCAAATAACTTTTGATAGAGGCATGCTAGAGCGATGAAAACGCCTTAGATGTGTTCAGCTCGACGATACGGATCGACTGATATGCAACATGACCCTTTCCGGTCAGGTCATGACCTTGACCTGAGGTCAAATTTTCAAGTTGACCTTTCAAGGTCAAGTTATAGTTCATTCGATGCGTCTTGACGAGAGAAACACGATGCCGGTAAAAGTAAGCTCGTACAAGGCTTGGGTCAAAAGTTATTGCAGAAAAACTGTTTTCGAAAAAATCGGTTATTTTTGCAGTTTTTGCCCCCTGCAGGCAAAACTGTTGACGTTAGGTCAAATCTGAGAGAATTACTCAGAAAGGGCGATAATAGGGCTATCGAATGCGCTTTTCCGCGGCGCTGTAGCTCTATTGGTTCCCGAGTTATGCGTTGGCTTCTTGGAAATTTTCGACATTCGACCTGGAAATCGGCGAAATTTTGCCTTCAATGACCTCTGGTGACCTGACCTTTGACCTGACCAAAAAATTGACCGAAGTGATTTCGTCATTATTTTTTACGCTCTTTCGAACGCCGCCTTCCGCGTATCGCTACGTGGCCCAGGAGCCGAGTTACAAGGGGGGTGTTCAAACACCCCCCCCCCCAGCAGGGCGTGGAAATCCAGGACCCCCAGCAGGGCGCGGGTTAATTCCCGCCGTGCGCGGCGACCCGTCCGCCCCTCGGCGCCCGGAATACACGGACAGAGAGACCACAAAGCCGGCGGCCGGGCGGCTCTGGGCGGAGTCGGTGACCGGCCGCGACCCGCTGGGCAGTCTCTGGCCGCGTGACGCGCCGTGACTGAGCGACTCCGGGTGACTCGCACCTCCACCGACCGTTTCCCATTCACTGCCGAGCCGCGCTGCACGCAGCGGAAAAACGCCTCGCGGCAAACGCCCTCTGAGATCGCGTCCCGCTCGGCCATTCAGAAAAACGCGGTCGGCGCGGCGACAAAAAGCTAGTTCCGGGGACGGGGGCGGCGGTTGGGCGCACGCCGCGCCGCGCGTCCACCCGCTCGACGCCTGAGATGGACGTCTCGGCGGCCACCGACGTAGGACACGCCCAGCGCGGGCGTCAGGCCGGTACACTGACCCACTAACGCCCGAGGTGGTGGTTACCTTTAATTACTGGCGTAAACGACCGACCGGCGCCGGCAGCCGCATGGGCGCGAGACGACGCGCTGCGCCGCCGGCGTCAATGCCTCCCGAATAGATGAATATCTGGACCTAACGGGTATTGGAGTTAGTGCGCGCCGGAGCACCGCGCACGCCCGTCCATCCTCAGCATCTGGGTCATCTTGCATGCATAAGCGTACGCGCGCGGCGCCGAGGGCGGGGCGGCGTTCAGAAGCGCTCCGAGCGCCGTTAGGTCGTGGGCGGGCCGGGTCGTAACGCGCCGCGAGGTCGGCCGTGAGCGGGTCACCTCTCTGGGCACCGGGTGCGCGCCTGGGCGTGACGCCGACGAACCGAACGACGGGCGGCGGCACGAGCCCGCCGCTGTGCGACGCTGCCTCTGACACCACTACCGGGCCAACACAGCGGATTCGGTTACGCGACGGGCGGCGAACTGTGAAGGGTGGAGCGGCGGTTGCGGGATGCGGGTCGCATTGCGCCGGCTGGGGCGTGTCGAAATGAGCTGCGAAGACGCACCGGCAGCGCTGTGTGTGCGTCAGACCGAGGTGCTTCAGGGCTCTGATGTAACCGGGTCAAACCGCGAGCGGCCCGCGCCGGCCCAGCCGCCGAACTGCGGTCGACAGCGAGTCCCGTGAAACCGCCGCGCCGCGCCACGAGCGCCGCTTCCTCCTCACAAAGCGTGCGGTTCTGGGGAGCATCGCAAGGTGGCACGCTTC